TACTCACTGACCACGGGCGCGTGGTGGGGATAGAGTAGGTCAGTAAGTGCGTGCAACAAGGATAGAGATACCGAAATATTAAAAAATTACGCTCCTCTTTACACGACAATATCTCGGGAACGGATTATCGTATTGACACGATTTAAAATGGATTTTAAAGGAGAGATTTTTCTGCTTCTAACGATGCTAATTAAAGTGGCTTGCAATGACATAAACGGAAAATAAAAATTCAATCTTTTAATCTCACTTTAGTTTCGATTAAATGGCAATATATACCACCCCAAACTCGATTAAATTATTAAAATTGGACTAATTACTGAAATTAAAGAATTCAAGAATTAAAGAATGCAATTCAATTCAAATTTTGCGTAGGTTATTTCTTCAATTAATATCATACTTCTGCAGGCTGTCCTGAGAAAAATTTAATAGTCGAAAAATAAGTCAAGTGCACAGTTGGTCAACTTCTAGGACACTGTGTCCAATGAGTTGTCACTGTGCATCCCTTACAAATTAATCTTTCAAATTTTCTGTCACTGAATATACATGTACGAGATGAACTAACTTGCACCACTTCACAGTTCCCTAATTGCGAAACTATCTAGTTACGTGCAATGGCAGATCTGCCAAGTTCCTCAAACCATTTCGAGACCTAATCGAACTGAAATCCGCACATAACCCCAAGAATATCAATCTTCGCTCACGGGCGAGAAAATTTCTCCACCAGTGAGTAAACTAGCAGAGAAGGTGAGAGATCACGAGCAAAAGGACGTCGCGTCAGCCCCGTATCGCAGCCAGTAATCCACAAAAACACGAGCAGTTCCGTGGAAAGAGCGAGGGCTGAAGCGGCGTTTCCGTACCTGGAATTATTTTAGCGAGGAGGAGAGCGTTGACATAACCGAGGATTTAGTCGGTCGAGCCTCGTGTCTTACTGCTGTCGACAAGGGGATTGCGTTCCGGACTGCAGCCCTTCCCCACTGCCGACGCAGGGAACGCGAATTGGTCATTAAGACTTCGTACAAACAGCGATCTTAGCTCCAGCTCCCAGACTGAGAGAACATCTCGAAACGTCTCCAGCCAGCTTCCGGCGACGATCGTTAATCACATCCAGTTCCAGAACAGTATTTGTCCGCGTTGGGATTAGAATCCTACTGAAGCTGTGAAGAATATTTTCTTCCAGACTAATGTGACAGTTGAACCAGAGATCGTGTCCGATTGAATTTTATGCGCCATTCTTCGAGCACCAGATTGCGCATCCGTTGAGAGCAATGGTATCTATGGCAAACATAGGCTAGTGTTCACTGCTCTACATGGAATTAGCTACCATATCTTGGTCACTTATTTCATCTACTTTTCGATACCTGAGTGGAAAAATTTGCGTGTTACACGAAGGATCACTTCGAAGTAATGATATCTATATAGTAAAAGGATAATAGTCTATTGGCCAATACTCGTTACTCTCGTTCCTTTGCTAGATTAACTCCCGAGGACTTATCTCGGAGAACTTATGAGACACGTAGTCACTGAACACGAAACAAAGGTACTTATATTTATTCAAGTTACATTTGCCTCATTTAACGACTTGATCCTGGAACTGCAATTGGATCCAGAGAACCTGAGACTCGTCTCTCGGCATAACCATCCAAATAACTCTTCAATCCTTCTGCTCACGTGTTACCCGGCTGCACAATAGTACAACAATTCCTAACCTCAAAATCCCTATTCGGTTGAGAAAATCTCGCCATCATGATTCGAGCGGAGTAACAAGCTTCCTTTGCAACTATTCCTCAAAAGTCCCGTACCCAGCCGGCCCTATCGCTAACCTAGCCCAACCAGAGCCCCGGAAGACCTGAAGCCGCTTGCACCTATCTTTCAGCGCGAGCGGATCCGCGCGCACAGGCACGCGCCATAAACACGTACAGCCGAATAAAGCTACAAACTTTGTACATAAGCAAGCGGGGAGCCACGGCAACCGTCACGCCGCTGACTCTCCGCAAACTAACTATCGCCACTTGCGATAACTTCCACACGAGAGGGGTCGGTGAAGGGGAAGGTGGCGGCTCGAGGTAAATGGGAGAGCGACGGAGACGCGTCTCTCTCGATGGGGGGATATCTCGGCTTGGTTCGGGTAATCCGATAAGATGTTCCTGTTGGGGCTGCTCCACCCTTCCAGAATTCACTCGACCCCCCGCGATGCAGCAGCCTGCGCGTACAGTCGATTCCAAGGGGGCGAGATACAGGTAAGACGGATGACAATCGAGAGATGCCTGGCTGGGAAAAGGTGTTCCTTGGTTGGTTTTTCGAGGGATAGAGCACTTCGTGACACCCCGAGGCACTCCTAGCTTTTATCACGAGAAAAAGGACCGAGGGTGAGCCGATATGCTTGTTCTAAAATATCTGTATTTTTAGAAAGTCGCTCTACAGTTCGTCCAAACAGACGAGATATCAATGTTTACACTAACGTCTGCGTGATCAGTTAAGTGGTTCGCAGCTAGTGGTCCAATCAATCAATTTAGTTATTGTGGGCTCCTCGACGAGTCAGACTAAACCAAAACTGTTTCACTGTTTCGAAAAAAGTCCACGTAATCACGGGGGCCGGATACTGTGAAGTCGGTCCTGATCTGATCACGTGATCTTATCATGCATAGTCGTCGCATTCGGTATCTCGTCACGTTGGACGGACTATAGATTGTGACGATTGCATGACAGTATCTCTCTTGGTGAAGAAATATTTTGAAGATGTGGAGTAATATACAGGGTGTTCTGTTTTTACATGTAAATGAAAGTTACTCGTCAACTATTTCTAACAAGAGCTAACCTTTTGCACTCGAAACGCGACTCTCAGTCGCCATTTAATCAAATTCTACAGATCGATGGTGATTAATATATCAAATTCAAAATTACCTAACGATGCGAGGAATGTCGGAGTAAAATAATTCTACGTCTTAATTTGTATACGATTTCTTATTTACTATTTTAAAAATATCGACTTTATGACAGAAAGACTTTGAATTACTATTTTTCTCTAACGAAAAAATCGTCGAGTGCAAAGGGTTAAGCGTTTACAGGAAAACCATGAGGTAGATGGTCAAGTAGAGGATAAAGATCGATATATTCTTTTGAAATGAAATCATGTGACTTCCAATGCATTCATAGACCCCTCATAGTTTGTTATTTATGACAGAAAGGTACTGAATGAAAAGATTTATTATACAACCTGTAATTAATGAGTAATTTTTATTTATAGGTATAAATCGGACACCCTGTATATGTTCTTATAGGAATCTCAGTCTGGGGTAAAGTTAAACTCGGTTTGAGGAAAGACGAATGCCCAAAATGTTCTTTCCAAGAATAAAATCTCCTGTGAGAAAAGTTAATCTCAAGTTCTCGACTCATTTTTCATAAAGAATCACGATTTGTTCTACAACACTCTGCGGATTTAAATGTCTTTTCGTTCTTTGTATCTTAAATAAAGGAACGGGGCAAAGAAATTTTAACAAACGACATGATTTTTTTAACGCGCTTCTCAGCTGTTTCGCTGAAACCGCTGCGGAAAACTGAAGCAGTTATTCCGCGACGTTTTACGAAATTGAAGAGGGTAGCCACCCTTCGAATGTACCAGCCAGTACGACGGACCTGAGGATTCGTGTCTGAGAAACGTCAGAAGCCATGCTTCGAAGCCATCAATGTTCTCAGACACTTTCCTGGCCCTCGTCATCTCGTTGGACGTTGGGAATTTTTATGTCTCCCTTTCCCTTGTTTTGGGAGGGAAATACAGATCATTAATCACTCGTTGCATTAACTTATAACTTTTCTACTTGGACTAACAGGAGGGGAATGAACAACAACGAAGAGCGTGATAAAAATTCAAGGTTAATAAATGACATCATTCGATAGAGATTATAAATATTTAAATTTCTTTTTCGCAAAGAAAGCAGTCATGTTGAGAGTTGAAATTTGAAATCATCAATTCTGTGGACAAAACTGAAGATAAAATAAAATTTAATGTCAATTAATTATTTCAGCGAGAAAAGAATAATCAAAATGTCATTTAGTTCAATTAAAATCTGATTTTAAATACACACGGATTCTTTAGAAATAATTCAATAAAGCACTGGCACTTAGTAATTAAGATGAAAGTAATCTAACCTAACCTAAAATAAGTGCACAATTTTAAATGCATTAAATGAACACCGCCTAATAAAGGAGCAGCTTAGGCTACTTTCTCACCCATTTCAGGAAATTTCTGCCAATCAAAATGAAGTTGAGGATAATTGATAAAAAGTTGATTAAATCACGATTGAAATTGGTTTATGGTGTGCAAGTATTTATAAGATTAGGTTAACAAAATGGAATGTGAATTTTAAAATATTAGATATCGAAGTACAGTCCTAGTAATCTACACGATGATTAGATTTTCATCCATATTGTCTTAAAATAAATTTAAATATTTCAATTAACAAGATCAATCTCGAAATACCGCATGAACAATTAGGAAACTAAAACTCACTTAATTTAAAATAGATTCAAGATCTTCAGTTGTCTACCAAAAACAATTCAAATATAAATATTTCAAAGACATAAGACTCATAAGAACGTTTTATGTATCAGTTACAAACAACATCGACTTTACATTAACCTAACCTATAACCTACACTAATATAACCTAACCTAACTTTACACACAATTCATATTCAATATTAAAATTAAACATAGGAAACATTTTCTCAAATTTGATCTATTTTTAGGCTAGGAATTATCAGACAAACAGGTAACTGAAGCTCTACTTACCATAACCTAAAAACAGTTCAAAATATCTATTTATTTTCTCAACAGGAATAGTCCAGATGCATAGTAATGAATCTGGTATGAAATCAATATCAGACAATCTAGAGTGCCAATGAATATTCGTGGAGATCAATGGACACTTGACCTGTGCCCAACATTTCTCAGACAACAGAGGCTTCCGATAAAAGAAAAGTATAATTACTGAGAAATCTTACCCGATGGTGTCTCGTCGCTGCAAGATGTGGCAAACTCCATGCGATCCGGTGTCTTGCAACCGATATCCAATCGTCGGACACTCCCATAACGACACCGTCCTGGATAAAGTGTCGACGTAACCCTGACGTCTTGAACCTCGGCGGCATTTGCCATATTCTGCTCGTTGTCCACGCTCAATATGTCCTTTGCGTTATGGCCATTGTGAGAATGCAGGACGGACACGATTTCATAGCGTCCAAGGTTAGGACACTGTCTAGTGATCGGGTCTGAGGCTGGAAATGTAAAATCTAATTTAATGATTTCAATTTGCTTGTTTCCTAAAGCTGATCGTGTTTATTAGACTAACAACTGGCATATCGTGGAATTATCAATACTCTTCGTCGAAATCTCACGATTTTTATTGTCATAGCTAGTTTATACCATATTTTATATAAGATTATCAATAATATTCCTATATTATTAACAATAATTATCTAACAGGTGTCAATAGGTGTCTAATAGGTGCCAAATCATCTCATCATAATTGCTAATGATTATGTTAGCGACTCAGCTTAATTCTGCTTTTGCCAAAGTTAGGTTATGTTGGTTCTGAACAGGAAATAAGACACGATGCTACAAGCAAAGAATTCTACAATAAGAAATCCTCAGAAAATACTCATTCCCTACTGAATTATTCTTATATGTGTACCATTCGCTCCTCATAATAGTCAAGGTGATCATTCTCATAGCAAACCTTGACTCATGGTCATGCCTCAGTGACGTCATGGCTATCAGATACTGAGGGACAAACCTAGATCGATGGTGACCTCGCCCTTAACGTTTGCTTGGTTGGTTTACTCATCTGTGTAGCACATCCCAGAGACTTTCTCAATCTCTGTCTTGTGAATTAAGTGGGTACCATAAACCTAGGTCACCAAGAGGTCTCTTTCTCTAACTTAGGCCGGGAGACGATCATGCCCATACCTTCATACTCTTACAGACTACAACCCCGTTCATTGATTTCCGGCTGAACAAGCGAATGGGACCCCTAAAATCGTCTTGAGTGACGAAGAGTGGTAACGCAGATGCAAACATCGTCGAGACGGAAACGCAAGGAGCACAAAGAGGAAGTCGCGAACGATGGGACTTGACAATCGGTTCGCGAGAGGTTCCTTTACGATGGCGCAAAGGATCATATGCCGAATCCGTCGTAAACTCGACCCTCTACGAAGGCAGCACAGTTTCTGCTTAAGCCGATTACTGCGTTTCCATAACACTGACGAAGACAGGGTCATTCCGCTGGCGCGGAATTTATCGTGACGCCATTGATACCCTGCTTCCACCGAGTCTAGACCTCCCCGAAATTGCTCCTTCGTGTTTACCTTGTTTGCCCTTCTACTTTCTCAACTTTTACAATCGTTCTGGCTGTTTTTACGTCTTCCTTCGTCACGACTTCTGATTTCTCCGATGTCTGATTTGTTAAATAAGGCGAATGTATTGTCCCGTCCCGTGGATTTCTGACATTTCGAAAGTCGTAATTCATTTTTGTTAACATTCGTCTGCTTTTGAATACATATTGTATTATATTTGAAGGTCGAGGTGGAAGAAAATGATAAGCGAGGATAATAATTAGACAGATTATAAGAAATTGAAAGACTTAATTAACATAATCAAAATTATTTTGACTAATAAAATAAATGATTTTAATATTACTTATTGTTGTTAAAAGAGTGTTATAGAAATTTAACTAGTACTATTATTAGCTATAATTAAATTGTTTAATTATTATCTGATTATTAAAAAATATCACTTTTGCAATATTAATCGTACAAATTGTAACCTACAAACATAATTCTTTTCACCAATTTTTACTATTTACCAATTAACCCACCATAAACTTAACTGATTCAATACAAATAATGAGTAGATCTGTACATAAATGTCTGTTGGAGCAATAAATACAGATCAAACCAAATTACTGAGCAAGCAATACTATTGTCAGATTCTCAAATGCAATTTCAAAATTCTCCATTAAACAGAAATCAGTATAGTTAGATCTCCTTCCATATTTCTTTTTTTCTTTTCATTGACACTTTTTAAATGAATATAAACTTCAAGAATTTCAATTTTCTATAGTACTTGAAGATTCATCAGAAATATAGTTCTACGGTGAACAAAATGGTTCTACCTCACAACTCTCAAAACAATAAACATTCGTTCCACCAATACCAGCAGTTTTTCGCAGCAATTGAAAATCGAAAAATGGTGTTCGTTTGTCGAATGGGGAGGCTGTCCAGTGATCCGAGTGATTTGATAAGATCGAAACAAGCCAGAAACACGAATTCGATCGCCGGGGAGTGGGGGTCGCGGTGGTGGGCGAGCAGCGGGAGGGAAGGGCGTCGATTGATTTCGAGACGGGGTTGGAAATCACTTTCGGTAGAGGCGTTCGACCGCCTCCGCTTCCGGTTCCACGGATTCGGATTACAAAAGCGACTGGCATCGCGAAACTTCGTGTTGTTCGCGCGTATTCGACCCTCTTTGGGCCACTTTGTGGAATTAAAAATGTTTCCCGTTTATTTTTTTATTCTTTCTTTTTGCCTTTTTTTTTACCTTTTCGTGGAACGAGATTCGAGAGTCGAAAAATACGATTCGGTACGAGGAAATAGGTGAATTGTAAATTTTTCCTGTGAATCATTGGATGTTACTGTTCATTCGATTTAGCTCTACTTTTTTTTTGCATTTGACTGTGGTTATGCACAAATAAATTGGCTCCGATGGATATACAGAATTACTGAGATAAAAAATTGTTATTGGAGTTCGAGAGAATTTTTATTTTCGATTATATAAGGTGGAAAAAAGCTTCAGAATTTTATTGTTGAATATTTATCACGTAATACGATTCGCAACAGATGTATCATAATGATTGCATTGTAAGTGGTTAGGTATTATGTATGGAACACAATATCACTGAAACATTCACCTCATGCTGCGCGATAAATCCGTCCCATTTAATATTTAAATATACCTTTTCAAGTAATGTAACTAGTCTGCTTTCCCCCGGCTGTACTTGTTTTATTATGAATTCTTCGAAGAATTTCTCTGAAGTTATACGAATTATATTTTGCAAATTAAAGTGCTCACAGTATTCATTAAAGATAAGAAACTATTAAATTATCGTTAGTCTTAAAATCAATTATTTCGATATAAAATTATGTATTACTATTCATATGATTTACTACTCAATATAGTAAGTGAATTTCTTGAATACACATTAGAGATGAAAAAAGAATATAGTTTAGAACTATATAACACTATATAAATTTAAAAAGGTCTCAATTTTAGGACCCCCCTCTTTAACACCCTGTATAAGTACATGTAAGTAATTTATTTCATCGAAAGATCTCTTTATGAGTTTCAAAAACCAAAAACCTTTTCCATTTATCATCACTGACCAAGAAAAGGTAACTTCATTCAACACAAAGAATACACGAATGTTACCAAAACCCCATTTCTGTGAACTTTATGATGCAGCATTGTACACATTCATGCAAAAGAGGAAAAAATAAAATACTAAATTCATCATGAACCACTATTTCACAAATTACATATGCTTAAATTTAAGAATATCCCAGCACCATAAAAAGAAAAAAAGAAAGGGAAAAGAGAAGAGAAATATATAAAAAATAAAATAAAAACATACCATATTTTTTCGCCCCTGAATATTCGTACGATCATTTAGCAATTTCGCGAGAGAAGAGACATTTATAGTAGCCGGAAACGCGGCCGACCATTGTTAAGACGTTATTTATCGATACACGTGTAAAGGATAGGGAGGGGCATGAATTCTCGCGAAATAATTTCATCGTGTTACAAGAGTGGCTCCATTGGGAATGCGCTATCTTCCCGCGCTCACTGTCATATTTTATATCCCTTCCAGTTCCCTTTTGTTTCTAACCCCCCTCCCCTCTATCTTCCTTTTTTGCTCTGTTTCTATTATTTTTTCTCCGGCAACTTTCGACAGTGAAATATCACTTTTAATTCTCGCAGTCGGCGTTTTATTTTCCGAGCTCAGCGAAACGAGAAACTGCGACGGTAGGCAACGTGTTTTCCCGCGCTCCAAGTCGCGGGCGCAATTAATATCCGGTTCGATCTGTCAATTAGGGAAATCTAGGCTTACGCGGTAAACAGACGAATGAACCTTTGATTCCGCTGAAAAATGTCAAGCTTCTGTTAACTCCACGACGGTGGTCTCATTTACCAATTTGTTTCGTCGTTTCACCGATGAAAAGTAGATAATTCGAAATTTCGTGGAAAATCTAGACTCGTGAAGTGACGCCATTACCGAACATAACCTAGAAAACTAGTTGCTTCGTCGCTAGTTATATGCTAGAAAAATTAACTATTATTTTCTTTCGCGACAATTAAATTGAACGGTGATTGTTATTTTTCAGAAATAGCTTCATTAAGTTGACATTTTTAATTAATTAAAATGCTTGTTTAAAGTAAAACGATTGGAACAAAGCTTTATTGTAGGTTATGTCGGATTAAACCGCGTCTAATTAACAGCGCATATTTTAAAATTCATTTTCATAAATTTCGTTTCTTCATAAATAACATTGATATAATAGGAAATTAATTTTTCATATTGTGCTTAATCAAGTCTTTCATAGATTGCCACTCTGTTAAATTATGTTCGAAATAATTAAACGAATATACAGAGAAAATTTCGCTTTAGTTGGATTTTAATTAATATTTTATGCAATAATTCGCTGATATCGTATGTTACTCTGTGTCCAACAATTGCAAATGTCAGGATGAATTTTATTGCAATAAGAACAGAAGTTTTTGATTATTTATTAATTATTACGAACTGATTATTTGCAAAATTCCTGCACTTTCGTAATTATATGCAAGTACGTCGCTTTCAGTTGCTCCGCTCGATTGCATTCGAATTCCATCGCTGCAGCAGCGCCGAAAATGGCGCCAAGTAACGCGCGTAAATAGCGGGAGGCGTTCACGCGACCGAGTGTTAATAAATGATCGTAATTGACTTACTAATGAACGTCGTGTACGGCGTCGAGTGGGAGTTGAACGTACTCGAGTTGCACACGTCGTCGGGCTGCTGGCTCCAGTCCGACAGTTGCATCTCTATTATGTGGTTATCCCTTCGGTGGAACATCAGGCACACGTAACCTTTGTTACTGAAACAGAAAACGAAAATTTGGTCAGTGCACCGTGGATCAATGTGATCCGAGTAGGGAAAAGAATTTTGGAGAAAAATACCTCTGAACCCTTTCAAATTTCATACAGTTCCTACTACAGACACGTATATCGTATATTTGAAGTAATTTTATATTTTTTCCATTTAAATTTCCCGGGATATTTTCATACGGGGAAAGTAATAATATGATTTTTACAATAATTTTTAAAATATTGAGAAATTGGATATACCACTTCCCGGACAGAAACCGTCAGTATAGCGACGCTTATACGAGCTTCGAGGAATTATAGATATTTCGACGTGAAAAATACAATAATATATTTATATTAATATTCCACTTTTTCGTACTGTTTTGAAATTTTGTACTAACTGTACTCCATTAAGACAGACAATCGTGTAGTTCATATTCCAGGTATGAAAATTCTCAAGTACTTACACACGAGGAAATAATATCACGATTCTGACAAAATGACTGTTCAACTAATTTAAATTTAATTATTGAAGTACCAAGAAAATTGAATTTTCTATTTTTTCGTGTCCCGATGACCCTTTTCGCGTCCTGGTGCCCCTTTCCGTGGTACGAAAAATTCCAGGCAACGTTTACAAATTTGCAAGAAGGAATTGAAAGGAGAAATAAGGGAAAACTGGACAACGGGTGGCCCACACACAATATCGCCGCAATAAAATTAGAAGTTAATACAACCTTTGCAGGGGGTGGCGTGGGATGGGAGTGGGGCTGTTTCATGAAAACGAGACACGTCTAATAATCGAGCCAGTAAGCCGTAAAAGCTGCCAGTGGTCGACAAAGGGGGAAGGGTGAGGGGCAAGAGCGTGGAAGAAAAGAAGAGAATGACTGGGGGTAGATGTTGGCCAGAACGGGGGTGGAAAACAAGGGTAAAGGACCTTAAATCTCTGGTCGCTTCCGCGGTCGGGCCAGGATTAAGATTTTATTTTATCAGGACGTTTCTTAACGGGTCTGCGTTAACTTTAAGCGTAATCCCTTTACGACTCACCCCGCCCCTCTTTTACGACGAAACTGTGAAATCTGTAGTGGAGCGAGTTCATAACGCGAGACAAAGCGTGTTTGTTCGCGAACTCGCTCATCCTGCCTCTTTGTTCAACTCTGGGGAAGATTAAGCTTGACAGAAAAGCATCAAATTGAGAAGCTTCCTTTCATTGCGAGTGTCTCTTCGTTAACCTGTGATTTGACACGAGTGAACGATAGGATGTGGTACGTAGGTAAATTCCATACTTGATGAAGACGTTTCAGTGACATCCTTAATTTTGGACTGAAAATAATGAGGGGCAAGAATAAAGAAGAACTGGGCATTAAATAATCTAAATATTTAAAAAGTTTCTCCTGATATTCTTTCAAATAGGCTAATATTGCAGTATCACGAGTATGCTGTCATTGATGTTATATTTATATTATTATAATACTGCATATGAGTAAATGGATAAACTGAGAATAATATTTATTGAATAGTATAACAACACAATATAAATTATAATCAAATCACATAAAATAAGTTCGCTTCTCACTGTGATATAATCTATTCAGGACTCTCTCACACACAACGTGTATTTTTGATGATTGCCATTCACCCACTAATTGTTTTTTACGACTCTGTCATACTCGTCACACACATACATTCTTCCACACAAACATTCCTCACACTTATACCAAACATTCTATGACAACCGCTACCACACTACACACATAACCTCACATTTTATTGAATTTGGTATAAAGATATAAAGAAAAAATAGAGTTTACGTGGTCCCATATATAACAAGAAAAGGTTAGGTACCGATTTAATCAATTGGAAATACTCATGCCTAGAAAAATAATTGAGTAATACGTAAATCAAAAACTCATAAAAATTTTGGGACTTAACCCTTTGCACTCGACGATTTCTTGACTAAAGAAGAATAAGGGTTCAAAAATTTTCTGCCATATAAATGACGGTATTTTTTTGAGTAGTAAATAAGAAATAGTATGACAATTAACACGTAGAATTATTTGATTTCGATACCTTTCATATCGTTACATTATCTGAAATTTGACCTATTAATGAATATCGATCTTCGAAATTTTATCAAATGGAGACTGAAGGGCGCCTCTCGAGTGCAAAGGGTTAATACTGGCAGTAGCATAAATGAGATAATTATAATGTCAATAGGGACAGATTCAGATAAAAATTTCTTGTATCAATGTAAACATCTAATTCAGAAGATAGTTTGTACCTTCCAATAATTTTTAAACACCTTTCATCCAAGATTTAGCAGATCTTAACATCTTAAATACGAGCTTAAGAAAGTATTCCAACCCTCATAGATGTTGAACCTCAGCTTAAACACTTCTTATCTAAACATTTCTTCAATTTGCATACATAACCTAGAAGCTAAGACAAATTCCAGAGACTTAAAGATGTATGTTAAACGAAGTTTCTGTTACAAACAACGTCAATCTTATCTTAAGCTATCATATAACATCCACTACTATAATCTAACTGAACTCTTACACATGACTGAATTAGAAAGATATAAAATCAGACACAAAAATCGAATCCATAATACGACCCATGTTTCAATTTCAAACAATAATTTTATCCCAACCTTGTGAGTTTGCCGTTTGACAATTATATATTTATTAGAAATTATAATATACACACGCCACAAAAAGATTACAACGATTAGGTATGATTTACATTTGATCTGATCTGATCTAGATCTTCCACTCGCGCTTCCAAAAACATACATATCTAAATTCGTGCCATCACTCGACTTCACACACTCGCATTCACAATAACAAAACAAATCCACACTCTCCTCCCTTGGTTTTATTTATTTTTCAACACTCATAAAATTCTTTACAATTTTTAATAATGTGGGTTCACTTAACGCTTTCGTCGAACAAACTTAACCTATAACATGCACTAATAGAAACTAACCTAACTTTAGACAGCACACAAATTTCGAAGATTCAAAATCAAATGCAAAAATAAAAATCACGAAGGTATTCTAATTCAATAAAGACTATCCGAATTCTAATCATAAGCAACATTAATTTCATCTGTACCTAACCTATAACCTATAACCTTCATAAACTAACCTAACTCTACAAACGAATGAAATTTTAAAGATACAATTTTCAAGTATCCATCTTTATGAAATACATAACCAATACTACGAATCGAACAAATATTAAAACTAACCTAGAAAAACAACCTAATCTATAACATGCACTAGTAGAAACTAACCTAACTTTAGACAGCACACAAATTTCGAAGATTCAAAATCAAATACAAAAATAAAAATCACGAAGGTATTCTAATTCAATAAAGACTATCCGAATTTTAATCATAAGCAACATTAATTTCATCTGTACCTAACCTATAACCTATAACCTTCATAAACTAACCTAACTCTACAAAAGAATGAAATTTTAAAGATACAATTTCCAAGTATCCATGTTCATGAAATACATAACCAATACTACGAATCGAACAAATATTAAAACTAACCTAGAAAAACAACCTAATCTATAACATGCACTAGTAGAAACTAACCTAACTTTAGACAGCACACAAATTTCGAAGATTCAAAATCAAATGCAAAAATAAAAATCACGAAGATATTTTAATTCAATAAAGGCCATCCGAATTTTAATCACAAGCAACATTAATTTCATCTGCACCTAACGTATAACCTCCATTAAAATAAACTAACCTAACTCTACAAACGATTCAAATTGCAAAAATATAGAATTTCCAAGTATCCATGTTTATGAAATACATAACCAATACCACGAATCGAAGAAATATTAAAACTAACCTAGAAAAGCATCCCTTCCCAAGCGTATTCCTCACGAAGCCAGGCTTAAAGAATAAATCACGTCACTCGTATTCTTCAAAACTCCCAACACCCGACCAACTTCATTTCCACGCCTCCCGAATGGTTTTCTCAGCCGGTTGTTTTATTCAAAGCTTCATCAAACGCGTTCACTTTGTTACAGACGCGAAGAAGAGGGCGCTGGTTACCCCTGCCGGGAGTAACTGCATTTTCCTTACGACCGGTAGCGCCATGAAAACGAACATAAAGCCGCGCGTATCGGTTCCCATGAAACCGAGGCTCGCGATCGAGAACACGGCCGGATTTTCGGTTTTATAACCAGACCCGTTCTTACGGACGCGTTCCCGCGGATTATTGTTATGGCGACAGATCGCCTTCCGGTTCGTCCGGTGTTCCCGTGCGTACGCTGGAAACAGGATTGGGGTGATGATCGCGGTCCATTGATTTCTTCTCACCTTTTATTGAATTCGGCTCGTTGAGAACAACGGGAATAGAGGATTTGCAAACCGCTCTTTGGGTGTTGTTGTTTTACCAATGGAATATTCGTGACGTATTTTCGGTCCAGTTTTATAGCTGGATAACCTAGATTCGCGTGAATTTCAATGTGAATAAATTCGATTTAGGAGGAATCGTATAGATGACCGTTTAGTAATAATAATAACCAAAAAGAAAAAAAAAAATGGAAATATGTGTAGGATCGAGTGAAATAATATTGCAATGCTAATGGGGTAAAATAAGCTTTATTAATAGAATAATAGTAGTAACTATATACTTTCGTCCTGATAGATCACGAAATTCATTTGACCTTCCACTCTGACTCTCCTTATAATACTCTTTCTGGCACATTAGCAACTCACAACTCTTTTACGACTGACTTGCCCACGTCCTTGTACCCTTATTTTAAGCTTACATTCTGTCTTCTGTCATACTGAGTCTCTCTTCCTCAATCACACATTTCTCACACGATCTAGTACTCGGTAGACCAGGTATTTTAAATACTCAGGACGCACTCCTAAACCTTCGTTAGTTGTTTGCACTCGATTCTGTCAGAAATACCCTTTACAATCGATTCTTTTGCACGCAGTCCATTTCGTCCAGTGTCCCAAACACTCTTATCATTCTCTC